ATCTGCTCCTCACAGAGCGTTTCTCACAACGATCTAAGTTGAATTAACCAAAAGTCCGTTTGTAATTTTAAATCCTGAAAACTAAGGTAGGTCTATTCGATCTCTTGGGTTGACTCTTAAAAATCTCTTGGCCATGTTTCTGCCTTTCTAGTGTGACGACTTTTTTGATTTTTGACACAGTTGCATGTACCAATTCAATTCAACTTGACAATTGTTTCGGAATCATTGTCAACCCAAATTAAAATGTCACCTGACGACTTGAATTTTGACACAGTTAAATCTACTGATTCAACGCAACTAACTCTAAGGAATTGGATTATTATGTCTAAGTCAGAACCTTGGGAGAACATTTGAGTTGACCTTGATGGAGCTTCTACATGAGCTTTGCGGTAATGGGCCCTCGACATGATTGAGGATCTGCGCCTCACACTGACTTTACAGCATGTTTTGGCCGTACATCTAGAATACCTCTTCTACTTGTATTTATTATTTATAGGGAGATATATAATGGCCAGACCGTTTGGTCTAAGAACCGTTCAGGTAATTAGTTATGTTTTACTCCAAATTCAGTCTTTGGCAAAAAACCGTTGAATCAATCAACGATCCATTGATCCATCCGACATGTTCAATGGTTTTTGGTCATTTTTAAATTTTAATTATTTTTTAATTTATTTTGTTAGAGTGGGCCATCTATTCAGACCGGGTGGTCAAATTGTCGACCCAAAAACCAGTGGCCAGAACAGTTCCGGTTCCGAGTCGTTTTTTAAAACGTTGGTACCAATATAACGTGATGGCCAGATCTAGAGGGTTGTACCTCTCAAATATTCATTATTCTCTACCATGCCTTCTCACACGAAAGCTCATCAAACTATAAATGTAGACAAATACAGGTCCACCCATAAAATTTAATTAATTATAATGGGGCGATTATGATCAAATACAAGATTACTTGATCAAATAAGCTCTCATACCTTCTCAAAGAATTGTTTAATCTAAAATTTAAGTTATTAGGTGAGTTCCCCGAATAGTTTTTTATTCTCTACCAGTACCGATTTGAGTATTTAAAACATGATCTTAATACTTATAACATTTATTAAGAAAACTATCAAACAAGGTTTAAGGCATTAAAAATGTTAAATGCATCAGAAAGACAATTTTAAGAGATGTATCAAGATATATTTTGGATACGTATAGATACACAGACAAAAAACAAAGATACACATGTATACACCATGAAACTCAAATAAACCTAAAAATATATTAATAACAATAAGCACAAGCTATATATGACTATAAATAAATTCTTTAAATGTAAAAATATTACTTTAAACAATTTACATGAAATGTGAGAGATCAGAACACAATAGGTAACCGCCGAAAAATGATGAAACAACTAAAATGTGTACTTACATACCTTGATTCTCATAAGATCAAAATAAGTTGTCTTAATATTTGTTAACATATAAATTTTAATAGTCAATTTTAGCATTTAGTGAAAACATCTAGAATATATCATCTTGGCCCGACCCAGCTCAGAAATTCTAGGTATAGGCTTGGGTTTTGTGTTTAGGGTTGGTCCAACCTATATATTTAAGGGTTAAATACTTAAAACGCTAGCAAATGAACACAAACTTATTTATCCTACTATTTAAGAAATTACCTAGAGTACCCCGGACATTTCTGACAATTGATAACCCCGTTAAATATGGATGAAAAGGTAAAAAGACCTTACTGCCCTTCCGTTAAGTAAAGAGGTAACATGGTGACCATTGGAAAAACACACCAGAGAATATGACTGATGCAAATTCCAACAAGATCTCCAGTGACCACTGCAAATCCCGACAAGAGGAGTTGCAGTGGTGGTGCAGTGCTATGAATCCAAACGGAATCAAAGAGATGAAAATCGGTGGGGAGAAGAGAAGGAAAATGAAAACATTGGAAAAAAAACCCAGACTGAGGACTTCAACTCCTCCTGTTGGTCAATTTACAGGGTTTCGGAATCACTTGCGAAACCAAACTGTTGTCTCTAGTGAAGAAAGAGCCAATTGCTGAGTTTGGATTGATTTACTATATTTTGTTCCATTTTTCCTTTCAAAGAGAAGGTAAAATTGGAGTGGAAGCAATCTTGGGTGAGATTTTTGGTAGCGACCACGACGGTGGTGATGCCTGCTTTGAACATGTGACAGTAAAGGAGGAGACCCCAGAAGATGTTTTGAACATGCCTATAGCAGACGATGGTGTGGAGCAATAGCCAATCACAACATCAAATCCCATTTGGAATGCCGCCATGGGTAGGAACTCCATTGATCTATGGAGCTTCAATGATGTTCCTACTGCCATTAACTAAAACAGATCTGCTTTTTTACTTTTTCCTATGGTAATGGATCTGTGGTTGAGGAAGAAAAGGAGTGGACCAATGAGGATTACAATTTGTTGAAGATACAAATGTCGAAGCACCCCGTTGGAGCACCGAGATGGTGGGAGTTGCTTGGATTTTACTACTAGTTTCTAGAGGGTATTGAAGCAGTGCAATGGTATGATGGATATTTGTGCCATCAACAACAACAACAAGATAATCTTCCCTGTCAAGTCCATCCATTAACTCCCACTCACATGGTGTAAGAGTTTGTGAAGCAAATGGAACACCCAAAAGTTGTTTGATCCTTTGTTTTAACTGCAGAATGGGTTCCTTGTAACCCTCTATGATCAACTCACACACTCCGGTAGGCGGTAGCAATGACAACCCTCATTTTATTGCCAAAGCTTAATTAAAAGCAGTTCAGTTTCTCTCTATTTGAAGCATATATCAAGGATGAACAAGGAATAAGTAGACAATTGTTATACGCAATATTGATGTAGAACTTCATAAATTGCTAAAAGCAAATGGCAATCAATGAATTCAGTTTAGAAATGAGAAATGGAGGAGACAACGAGAGTTGATTGTTGAGGCTTTTAGAAGGCCGCATGGGTTGGACAGTGTGATTAAGACAACGAAATCGATGTTCGAGAAGAAACATTTGGACAGGTGGTGAGGATTCGTCCTCCCAGTTTTTGAAGTAGCATAAAACTTTGACAAGTGGATTCAAGCTATTGAAAGCTGGGGTTCGAGCCGCTGGGTCTGGGGATGGTGCTAGTTCCGAGGACCTAAAGAAGGGTATACAAGGAAGCCCCTGCACCTCATTCCTTGAATATTCTGTTTTCTCGAACTGAAGACTCCTACCGTTGGTCGATTTATAGAGTTTTGGAATCACTACGAAAACCATACTGAAGACGGTCATGTTGTAGGGTTTCATCTTTGAGCTCTGCATTTTCTAAGCCATAGAGGTCTGGATGCCATGCAAAAGTAAAGGGTATTTTGGACCATAAAAGGGTGGGTAGTTTAAGCATTTTGAAAAAACAAGTCTTACGTCGGGGGGGATTTTGTCCATTATTAGAAATGTCCAAGGGACTTAAGTAATTTCTTAAACAGTAAGGTAGATTTGTGTTCATTTGTTAAACCTTAGGGGATGTTTAAGTATTTAACCCTATATTTAAATATATATATATATATATTATAATATGACACTTATAATATATATATTTATGTTATATTATATTTTAATATGAAACATATAATATTTTATATTTTATAATGTATCAAAAAAAATTATATGCATATTTTATATTATATTCAATTTAATATATGTAAGATTTTATATATAAAAAACTTAGGCCATACTTGACCCATAATCACCCTAATTAACATCCACTAAAAAGATAAAGTTTATTTAAGGATCAAAATACATAAAATATAAAGAGCACAGTGGATTTGGGTAGTGGTGGAATCATGTTCGTTATATATAATGTAATCTGGTTCGTACCGGCCAATACAGACCCGAAACGATTTGATATGGGCCCGTATTGGCTCAATACAAATTAAAAGAAACGCAACGATTGGTTTCTATACATTCTGTGTATCGGCCCATATGTTGAGAAATTTTGAACTTTGCCATGAGATAAGGCAAGCTTTTCTCTTGGCTCAAACTCAACCATACCATCCATTTTACTTCAGAATGCTTAGATTAATAAATCATTCAGGATTCACCGATTCAGAATGACTTGTAATATATCTAAGCCACCAAGAACCCATGCCTTTAAATTCCAATAAGATTTCATAAAACTCTGGTTCGACTTATATATACGGTGACCAAAACAAAATCTTTAAAATTTAGGATGAATTCAGAATATTTTCCATGATTTTGACTGCATTTGAACCTGAAGTTTCAGTTTTTATTTTATAATATCTACAAATAAATAAAATATTACTAAAATAAAATAATCCCCCGAATTTCTGAAATCTTTAAAAGTTTCATCTCGCATTTTGGTTGCGAAATGCCCATAATTTCCAAACTTGAAAACTTTAATTAAGGTAGCCCGGATGTTTTGTTGATAATGCACAAAGACAATTTACAAATTTTTAACAAAATATTTGCGAATTTACAGATTATTTTTTTTCCACCTATTGTAGTCTGTAGAGTGAAGAAACAAACAGAGCCAATACGAAAATCAATCAGATACAGAATGGTCTCCCTACCAACTGCCGGAAAGAGGCCAAAACATCCATTTCTTTGGTTAGTTTCTTTCTTCTTGTCATAACAATGGTTTCAAGCTACAAGGTTCCCAGTAGAGCACGAGACATTGGCACTCGTCAAGACACAAAATAGAGGCTGGAACTGTTTCAGTGGAACTTTCCTAGTGCATTGACTCAACCTCCCTTAACTGGAAGAAGTACTTTTAGGAAAAATAAAGCATCAATGAAGAATGGATTATGGTACAACCAGAGACCAAACCTGATCAATCTTAAAGCAGTAAAGCCCAAGAAAATTGTTGACAACAAACCTACAAGTGAGTTTATAGATGAGAGAAAACAGATTAAACATTGGGTTTAAATTTAATGGCACATCATTTATTCATTACCTGAATGGGTGTCAGAGCCTTAAAGAAGATTCTAACAACAGAACTGCAAATAAAAGCTTCTCAACATGATATTTCAAAGATACAAACACCATCTTATAAAATTCCAAAAGTTATGTATGCCCACCAAAAGTAAAATTTACAACGTTAACTCATATCCAATCTTTCAATTATTTCGAAATGCATCTGCATATCTGGGCGCTTATCTGCAAAATAAAATTTTTCACACACCTTTAGTTTTCCTCCACTCTTCTTGGATGCATCTTGAAGCAGATGAAGCAATCTGTCTTTCTCATTCCGAATCCATGATCTCATGCCATCACACCACTGTCTGGGAGTTCCATGCAAGCCAAAATGAATTTCTGAACCACCCCCCATCACATGCTCCGAGATTCTTGAAACTACATCGGGATCAGTCAGATATGCTCCAGCTGAATTTAGGCCAACATCTACATAGTGAATCTCGGAAATGCTGCTTAAGAAGCTTTCCTTTGAATTGGGTATAATCTGTTCTTCTTCCTGATCTCTAGAGAAATTTCCACCCACTGGCTGTTTCAATTTAGTAGTCCCTACTTTGTTCTCAATGCTTGAATAAGCAAGTTCGGTAACTATCTGGTTAAGTACAGCTCCACCCTTGCTAAAACCAAGGACCACAGTTTTAGGCACACGTGGACATGATGATGATGGTTTTTGATGTCCTCCAGGAATCACATTCTGAGCCTGCTAATCAACAAGCAAAGGCGATACATTTAGAAAATAAATACAATTTAGCAGGTGATTCAATTAGTTCAATCAACTGAAACTAGGTAATGAGAATCAAATAAGTGGCTCGCAAATTCAACTGTTTGAAATTACATCTATCACTCTATCTTACATTTGCAAAAATGTGCGTGTCAGTCTAGGAGTCAGATCTATCTGAACCCAAAGTATTGGGATTAGAGGGATTCACTTGCCATGGATAAACCACACAGCTGTAATAAATATATATAATTTTCAATTAGGATAGATGGTTACATTACGAAGATTATGAAGTTGCAGTTATAAAGTTGCAAAATGAAAATGCAATATACTTAAAATTCAATATGATACTTGAGTCTATAGTAGATAATGTTAAAGGGTTGTACTTAGTCAAGACATTTGATTTGTCTGGGTCTCGACTTCCAATTACAGTAATACCGAATCAATGTAACTCTAAACTCAGAATTCAAAAGAGAAAGACAATTGATGTAGGAATCCGGTATATACCTCTTACCTCTTCAAGGCATTTCGATAAGAGCAAGACAATTGATGTAGAAGCAGGAAATCCATGTGGACTGTAAGTTTTGGGCTCTCCTCTATAGTTCACAGAGGGGATAAAATCTTTATAAACAGCAAAAGGTCCGTTAAAAATGGAAGATTCGATAACCCAAGCATTAACGGAAGCACCCAATTTCGAAACCAGAATGTCGGTTAAATTCTGCAAATCCGACAGCCTCTCGATCACGGGATTCCCAGTGCCTTCAACCCGATCTCCGTTGAAGAAAATTGCATGTGCAGAAGGTATCTGCAATTTCAGACAGGAAAATGAGGGCGAAGATATACGAAATAAGAGAAAGGGCCGAACAAGTTTAAATTAGGGTTGGAATAAAAGAAGGGCTCTATCATTCCCTGTGGCCGTTGAAAAATGTATTCTATAAAAGAAGTTTGTTCTAACTTCTAAATTGCAGAGAGAACAAAAGGGGTTTGCTTTATTTCCTGTAAGTGTTGAGGTAGGAGGGAAAGGGTTAAGGTCTCAACAGGAGAGAAGAGTTGCAGAAGAGAAAGCACAGGTCAGTTCCTGGTTTTAAGGTTTCATGGCGGGAAAAAAAGGGCGACGAGACGAAACTTACAGTTAGCGATTTCGATGAAGGAGCGAGGCACAGAGAAGCCGCAACTCGGTAGTAGGCCCTACTACTGGGATCGAGAGTAACCTTTAAGACTCCGCTCCAACGCTCCATGAACTTGAACTCAGAGAGAGAGAGAGAGAGACTTGGCAGTTGGTGTGCTTTCATGGGCCGGGCCACGGTTTGGCTTTTGTCAAAATTTGAACGGACCTGGTCTGGATCCGCATGTTTTGCCAATACAAACGTGTTCTTTAATTTTGACGGGTATGTATGGAAGATCAATCATGGCCATCATCAGATCAGAGGTGACTCAGTCTGTTATTGTTAGGGAGAACGACGGTTCAGCCTAAAGGTGTAAAGTGGCACGGCACGGCCCGGCCCGTCTGGTGGAAATTAGGGGGGTCGGCCACCTGGGCCAGGCAGGGCTGCCGGCCGTGCCATGGGTTTGGACCGTGTTGGGCTGGGCCACAGGGCGGGCCTTGGGCCTAAGCCGAAACGGGTTGCACTGTTTTTTTTTTTTTTGAAAATTTTGATTTCTTTTCTAAGTAAAATTGTAAAACTAAAATATTTCACTTTCCTATGAATTTTGGGAATTAGGAACTATTTAAAAAATTAAGAAATGAGAAATCTAAGTTGTTTACCACATAAATGAAAAAAAACTACTTAACCAAATTGAAATAAGAATGATGGAATAACAAATTGGAAGAAAAATATGAATTTTATTTCATTTAAATTTGAATGGTACAAATTAGTGAATTACAAATACAATGAATGATTGGATCATTGCATACTTGGATGAATGAAATATAAAAATGGAATAAATTAATAAAATATAAAAAATACAATATGGTTACAAATTGAAAATACAAAATTATATTGTTAAAAAATTTTAAAAATATATCAAATAAATTAAAAAAATATATATATCAAATAATTTGAAAAAATGAAAAATTCTACAAGTGGTCAAATTCATGAATCATCATTCATGACTTTCATCATTTGCTTCGGGTGAAATGTCCGGTGTTGTATCATGCCTTCTCTTGTCTTGTAATCTATCTTCTGCATCTAACCAATCATTGAAGCAGATGCACATCTCTATGCTCTCATCGTTCATGCAACTTTTTGTCATCCAGTACCCTGGTACACTAAAACAAGACTCCGATAGAACTGTAGACACAGGCGGGATTAGTAGATCACGTGCCATGGCGGTGAGAACCGGATAATTTTTCGAGTGTTCACTCCACCAGGCGAAAATATCAAAATTATTTGATACTTCACCTAAATTAAAAAAAAAATTGCTTACAATTAAAAATTAAGTTTAGTAAATGAACTTGTTGTAGAGCTACCAGATTTCTGCCTTCTACTTATTAAATAAAAAAGATTTTCTCTTCTACTATTGGGCTCAAAGTTAGAATGAGAAGAAGGAGAAGATGAACAAGTTGTAAGAATATTTCCTACAATTTCAGATTCATACAAACTGTACATTTCAAATAATAATTTATTTATTTCTTCTTTTTTATTTCCTATATCAATATTCATATCTTCATAATATGTTTCAAGTAAAATATCTAAACCATCTTTCATAATCCTAGGGTCTAATATTGTAGCTAAAAAATAAAGGGGGCAAATATTCTTCCAATATTTTTTAAATTTATTTTCCATAATTTCAACAATACATTGAAATTGTGGATCATTTCTATATTTGGCAAAACAATCACTAATTACCATTAATTGATACCGTAAATTACAACTAGTTGGATAATAAATTCAAGATAATTCATTTGTTGCATCATAAAAATGTTTCAAAAATCTCTTATATAGACTACCATTTCCCGATCTTCCTCAAAAATCATATCATTAGGCATTTTTAAATTATAAAAATCATAAAGAATTTGTTTATGAGATATACAACTTTCTAACATAGCATAGGTAGAATTCCACCTATGCCTTACATCTAATATAAAATGTTTATATTTTAAACCATATTTTTGGCATAAATATTTAAATTCTTGTTTTCTTGCCCTTGAACTTTTTATATATATAAAACAATTTCTAATTTTTGAAATATGATTTCAAATAATATTCAAGGCATCTTGAATACATAAATTTGAGATGTGACATACACATCTAAAACTCAGCCTCTGCAATGTCACGTATAAAATTTTAGCAAAAGTAATAGTAGACCATCTTCGTACTATTCTAGACAATTTTATCTCCCCAAACCAAATGGCTTTTGTCTTGGGAAGACAAATGGCAGAAAACTCAATAATCACTCAAGAGATGTTTCATTTCTTGAGGCGCAAAAAGAAAGGGACTGGCTACATTGGCCAGAAATTAGACATGTCTAAGGCTTATGACAAGCTGGAATAGAGTCATCTCCTTAAAATTCTGTCCCTTTTAGAGTTCTTAGATGACTTCTGTCTTTTAATTAAGGAATGAATTTCTTCTGTATCCTTTTCTATCCTCATCGATGGTACCTCAGAAGGCCGCTTCTACCCCTCTAGAGGTTTAAGACAAGGGGATCCTCTCTCTCCGTACCTCTTTATCTTAGCTATGGAAGGCCTATCTAGACTTCTCCATAAAGCTGAAGCAGAGAGAAAAATCCAAGGGATTTCCATCTCCTCTTCCTCCCCCAAAATCTCTCACTGTTTCTTTGCGGATGACCTCATGATCTTTATCAGAGCTCATAGGGAAGAAATTGACAATCTTAATCAAATTCTAAACTCTTTTCAAGTTATCTTTAGTCAATTGATTAATATAAACAAGTCAGTAATTTACTGTAGTAGAAATATTCATCCAAGGCTTCAAAGACTAATAAGAAGACAAGTCAAATTGAAGTCTTTTCCGGAAAATACTAGACATTTAGGGCTTCCCCTTTTTTTGTCTAGGAGCAAACATGCCTGATGGAGGGTGATTTGGCCCAACCTCGTAGCACAGGTACACGTGGGTGTGACCTTGTTCAAGTGATGACTCAGCGTGACAGCACAGCAGGCACAGCCGCAACTCGATGGAAAAGTCACACCGAGTTCAGTCCAACAACTAGGCGGGATAGACTAATCGTCGAAAGCCGCCTAGCCCGCGTCTCCTCCCTGGGGATAAGGCACCCCGAGCTGCCTCCGAGCTCGGGGCCCCCTAACCTCTCCTAATATCCGAGCCCCACCAGTGGATCTCAGGCCATTCCCAGACAGGAGCACACCGACCAGCCTCTAGATGCTCCAAGGTGAAGACACCTCGGGTCAGACAGCTCGGCATAGCTTGCCATAGGCAGCTCGCTGCTTACGAGATAGCCCGGCATAGGGTAACTCGTGAAAGAGTAGTTCGACATATCGCAGGAAGATCTCCTACCTGACCACCGTACCCGACAAATCAGGGGACAGCAGCCATGTCCCTCGTCAGACAGCGTCGTGCCTACCACCTTTAGAGGGTGCCTTACACCTGACCGGCACGTACCCTACAATGACGGCCCCGCGTGTGACACCTCAGCCCTGCCTGTAACGGCTGCGACATGCTGACAGTGGCGGTTATACCTGCCCTATCAGAGGCGAGTGGGCCTGATGCAACGGAATTCTGTTATAAGGAGCCTATTCTCAAAGAACGAGGTATAATCTATCACTCGCGCTATCTACACTCTTAGCCTTCACCTTCTCCTTGCTTCTTCCACAGAATACTAACTTAAGCGTCAGAGTGTTAACGCCGGGCAAGCCCTCGGGGATTCTTCTTCTACTTCATCTCAGGTACCCTTCGGGAGCCAAGCAAGTGTCAGTTAGGAGTGACCGAATTGCGCACCATCAATGCCTAACTGTCTTTTATACTAGACAATATCAAATTAAACAGATGGAGAGCAACAACCATCAGTCACAAGTGCTAATTCAATAAGTACTCCAAGCTACCCCTATCCATGCCATGTCCCTTATTAAGTTCCCAAAGAAAACTATTGACCAATTAGAGATATATTTTAAAAAATTTTGGTGGGGTATTTCTAAAGAAAAATCTCTTCCCCATCGTTGGTGTGCTTGGCATAAATTGACCCGTCCAAAGGCACCAGGAGGCTTAGGATTCAAAAATCTTACTCTATTTAACTAAAGCCTCTTAAAGAAAGTAGCCTAAAAATTTATTAATGAACAACATAAACTCTAGGCTCAAATATGGAAATCTAAATACCTCAAAAACAAAGATCTATTTCCTTCCTCTATCCTCTCTAAATGGTCAATTTATTGGAAATCCATTAGCCCAGAACTTAGTGATTTAGCCTCTGAAAGTGGTGCTTTAGTTAATGAAAATTCTATCTTTTGAATTTCTCAGCGACCATGGATTCAAAAAAAAAAATCAAAACTTTTCTTGGATTCCTTTCCCACATGCCCCAAATCTCAAAGAAACGAATATCACCCACTTACTCCATCACGGCCAATGGAATGTTGAACTCATATACTCATTATTCTCCCCTACAGAGACAACACATTTTGGAAACTCCCATTTATCCAAGTTCAAACCCAATTACTTGGATCTTGCTATCTCATTTGTCAGGTAGTTTCACAAGAAAAAGAGAATATCGAAATAAAATCACTGCCCTTTCGTCTCACCTCTCACCAATTCTCAATTTCTGCTTCAGAAAAATTTGGAAAATGAATACTACTCCCAGATTTAAACTTTTTCTGTGGAGGGTACTTAATGAGTTTGTACCTGTGAAAGAGAAACGTTGTTTAAAAGATAATCAAAAACTCGTGTCCTTTGTGAAATTGAACCTGAAACAACAGTCCATTTATTCCTTAATTGTCCTTATGCCCAAGCTATTCTATTTGGAAACCCCTGGAATATCAATTCTCAAAGTATCTTTCAAAACTCTTGGGATACTAATATCGATAACCTTTTTAGCTAGGTGAACGATAACCGACTCGACCTGGTCGGTTTACCTAGAAATGAAACTGAAACCGACCTTGTACTAAGTAAAATCGACCTGCTTGGTTTGAATCGGTTTGGGTTGGTTTGCAACGGTTTTATGAATGATTCTCTCAGTGTGAATAGTAAAGGATTCAAATCTAAGAAAGCAAAGGCTGGATGTCTAGAAATTAAAAATGATTTGATGGATTAAAACTGATATTTTATATATCAAATATTTTATATATAATATGTAGATTTCTGAAATAA